GAGTTTTTTGTAAATGTCGGACCAAAACTTGCAAATGAATTTGAAGATCCACTGACATTCAATGAAGATAATCTAATAGATAGAAATCCAAGCACAATGTTCCTTAAACCTGTGGATGAGAAGGAAATCATAGATATTGTTAGCGGGTGTAAAAGCAAGACATCTACTGATTATGATGAAATAGATATGAAAATAATAAAAAAGGTTATTCATGGGATCTCCAAACCATTAATGTATATTTTTAATTTATCATTACAAACCGGTAAATTTCCCAATAATATGAAAATAGCTAAAGTTATTCCTGTGTACAAAACTGGGGACAAGCATCATTTCACAAATTACAGACCGGTTTCTCTTCTCCCACAGTTTTCAAAAATTCTGGAAAAAGTTGTCAATTACAGGTTAGACAATTTCATAGAAAGACATAATTTACTCTCAGATAATCAATATGGATTCAGAAGAAATCGATCAACATCACAAGCATTAATTGAACTAATAGAAGAAACAACAAATTCCATAGATAGCAAGAAATATTCTGTTGGGGTTTTTATTGATCTAAAAAAAGCATTTGATACTATAAATCATGATATATTAATTAACAAATTAGAGCAATATGGGATCAGGGGACTGGCACTAGAGTGGGTAAGAAGTTATTTAAAAAACAGGAAGCAATTTGTGAAGATGGGAGCTCATCAGTCAAGATGTTTGATGATATGATGATATGATAGAATTCCAAACAGCACAATTTCTATTTAAAGCTAGAAATAAGCTGTTACCAAGTCACTTGACAAATTTGTTTTATGAGAGAGAGGGGGGGTATGATTTAAGGGAGATAACTAATTTTAAGATTCAAAGATACAGAACTGCAAGGAAACGATTTTGTATAACAAATAGTGGAGTGAGGCTATGGAACAGACTGAGCATGGATTTGAAGCAATGTCCAAACATCAACCAGTTTAAAAACAAATATAAACAAATGATTTTTACAAGATACAGGGAGGAGGGGGCTTGAGGGGGAATAGAACTTGCTCTGCCACTATGAATTAAAATCGATAAGAAGTCAAGAGAGATGAAATAATAAAAAATAAAAAAAAGTGTGAGAGAAAAGGGTTTTTGGTTTATGGATATGTATGGATATACGTGTACGTAGATAGAGATATGTGTATACTGTCTATAGTAATTGGGGTGTGTATGTATATGCATGTATGTGTGTATGTGTTTGAGATACGGGTGTATGTGTAAGTATGCATGTGTGTATATATATGTATAGGTATCTATGAGTATGTGTATGTATATATATATATGTATATATGTATGTGTGTGTGTGTGTGTGTATATATAGATATGTATGTATGCTTAAACATTGGTAGATGTTAATATAGAACAGGGGTAGGATTTAATAAGTTTTATTACTTCTTCCTACTCCTTTTCGAACATGATGGGATGTACATATGTTTTTTTTTCTTTTTCTTCTTTTTTTGTTTTGTTTTGTATGACTTTATTAATTTACTTATATTTGCTTTTTATTAAGTGTTCGAAATAAATGATCAATCAATCAATCAAGAATCTCAGTGCAGGTATTTAATAGCTGATGTGATATGATCCATCTTCCAAGAATTGATGAAGACTCAAGATTGTTGCTAAGCAACAACAACTGGATGGATTTTTTCACAGCTGGATTCTATAATCCAGGGTAGAGAAATTATATTGATATAAAAATAAAGTGGGCTGAGAACAAACCCTTGAGGAACTCCATGGTTCCCTGTAATTTGACTGGATTAATAGTTACCAAATGAACCCAAATAATACCAGCCTGCCCATTAAGACCTTCACAGCTCAGTATCAGTCCAGTCCAACTTTTCAAGCCAATCAGTCTGTAACATGGATCAGACAAAAACAGATGTTTTAGACCCTTTACTGTTAAGATGTATATCAATTTAAACTTTTTACCACTGTAGTTTTAGTTTTCAGGGCTTTTGGAAAAACGACCCAACTGGGATGTTTTTATTAACTGCAATTTATTAGTAGCAGCTGGAAGAAAAGGTTTTTAAAAACCTGATGGGCAACTAATCAAAGAAGCATTTTATGGATTTAGGTTCAGAATCTGGAGGAGATCAACATCATCTTACATTTTCTGACTTATTTGTGTTTTTACTCAAAGATTGAATGTTAACATATAAATGCCTTTGATTTTCCAGGTGAACGAGGTTTTCCAGGACTTCAGGGACACAGAGGACCAAAAGGAGACAGAGGTCAGTTCTATGGAGGACAAAGTTAGATTACAGGGATCTTATTTCAGCTTTAAAAAAAGATAAATGGGTTTTTAACTAAATCAAAGATCTCTGCAGTCCTTCAGCAGCTTCACAGACTGTTAAAAAGTTTAGCCGTTTGTTTGATGCAACAAATTCTAAAAACACTTGGATTGTTAGTGCAGATGTTTACATTCTTTATCCGAACACTTTGAGGAATTGAGGACCCTAAACTGTGAACAAGAATGTAGTTCATGTGATGGTAGAAAAAAAGAAGTCTGGACCTCACTGAAAAAAATGAGACCTTGAAGGCATCGTGAGTTTCTCTAAAAGACCTGCTGGACTTTTTCTGCATCCATGCTTCCCTAAAATGTTGAGTTAGACATTGTTTGGCAACTGTTGCCTTTTTTCTATAACATGAGCTTTTTTTTTTAAATCAAAGAAAACAGAAATGGGATAATTTATTAATCTATATTGCAAAAGTCTGCATTAATATAATTAATTGCCTCCGGCAAGTTAATGAAAAAGGCAAATTGATGTTTTCCTTCGTATGATCTGGCCTTTAGCACCGATCATAGAACATAAATGTGATCTAATCAGGTCTCACATTTCCTGAATCCTTTTGCTTTTCTGCCAGAATATCATTTGCTTCTACATACAGGTTCAGCCCAGAGTCTGCTCTTTCTAAACTGTATCCGCCCGCACCCGTAAAGTTCAGAACCAAGTCCCGTTACCTGCTATGATCCCCATTTAAAACCTGTCCAGCACCGCACGGACCCGTAAATAATAAAGTGGGGGAAAAATGAAAACACAGCTGTTTATAATGACAGAGTTAGTGAAGAACATACCCTCACACTGACATCCAGAGGGCGCTGCGCTCACAGATTAACAGCTGTAAATTGGCCAAAGTAAGGTTGGCCTCTTTGCTTAAAAAAATAATGTTATGTGGATGTTCTTGAATCAGTTTGTTTCATAAGACGGAGAGTTAATAAATACGTATAATTCATTCTGTAACTCTGTGATACCTGTATTTTTTTATATATCCCTGTGCTGCACCTGTGTAATAAAATAGATTTTTTTCTACCTGTAGATGTATGTTTTATACTGGCAGCCGTCCATGTGCAGGACTCTGGTTCAGCCTGTTATAAACATTAGTAATAAGGCTGAAGCTTCCATAATACAGAGCTACTCTGGGGTCAAATCACTGCTGCCACCTTCTGGTTTAGAGGAGAACTGTTTGTTCCAGAGGTGAATTACATCCCAGTGGGAAAAACAAATCATCTGGTGGTCATCATCACCCTCTAGATTCACCCCTGATCACTACAATGTAATCTGAGGTGCATTTGGGGCCAAAACATGAAACGCATAAATGTGAATTTCCCATAGAAGAATGAATATACTGTGTAATAAGTAACTGTATTATGTATTTATAAATCATTTTTAAAATAATAAATGTAATGCATAAAAAATTAAGAGTCACATAAAAAAACATTTAAAATGATGGATTAATGAATATCATTAAAAATAATTAAAAAACGTATATAATTACTTCACTTTGATGATCGTTAGAATGAATTTTACGGGATTGTCAGTCTCTTGGATTGTTAGTTTTCGGGTCACAGGCTGAAATGTTTGGGAGCCTTTACTCCTTGATATTGGTCAGATCTAATCTTCTGAGGAACCCAATTTATCACTTTTATAATCTGAAAACCCAAAAGTCAATCAAACTGAATAAGTGATATCCTCGTCTCCCTTTTATCTCCTCTTTCTTTCATTTTTTTCTCCTTTTTCCTGTTTTTCCTTTCCGGTTCTACTAACATTGCAGTGTCCATATAATCTGTAAAACTCCCTGTATGAATTAAAATAAAGTTATTTACATGCGTAAATCAAACTGAACGCTATGGTGAAAGCCGTACTGCTCCACTTGTGAAAGTAAAATCTGTTGGCTCTTTTTGGCAGAAAGACAGTTATTCTTATTGCCACATTGCCAGACAGGACACTGGAGAAACAACCAAAAAAAAAAAAAAGAAAGAAACTGAATAAGTGAACGTTTTCCTGTCATTCTAATGTTTCGAAACATCTGCAGAACATTTCTGTTTTTAAATGAACTTTTTGTGTCGTTTCAGGAGATTTCTCGCTGACAACAAGAAAGAGGAGAAGCGCTGGTGTTTGAAAGGCGGGACGTTGAGCTCTTAGATGTTTCTCCACATTAGTTATTGGACATGAACAGTTTAAAGAGTGTAACTGTTTTTATACAGCGGGGTGTTCAGGGTACTGATATTTGTCATTCATTCTGGGCATTTCATTCAGTTTTCTAAAATTGGGTTTAAAACACCAACAGAAGCTTTTTGTCTGAGAAGAAATATTTTATTTACAGGAGAATGAAAATCAACATGATAGAAGCATTTCTAAAAACTATACATGTATTTTAAAAAAAAAGGAAATAATGACTGATATGTTTTGAGTCTGGATTTAGGAAGCTGAGCAGTTTTTGTATAAATAGTTGCAGAAAATATTTTTCTAAAAAAAAAAAGGTGCACAGCACTCCTTTGTTATATTTATTCAACAAGTCAAAAAAGCCAATCAGGAGAAACAAAGGAGAAGAGGAACCAATCAGAGGTCAGAAAGGCCTAAACCAGTCAGGTCCAGTTTTTTTTTTTTTTTACATTGATACAAATAAAATTGAAGAAAAGATTTATGTGTTTATGTTGTTAGAATAGAAAGATAACTTCTGCTAAATACAAACCTTCACAACATGTCTGAATCCTTAAAGGCGCAGAAACAGATTTATGGTATAACTGAATGATTAAGGCTAACAGCTAGTAGTGGAAAATGCTCCATTTTCAGCTCTCTGAAGAGGAAAAACTGCATTCAAGTCCCACTGAGGATTAAAGTATCACAGCCTAAACCAAAACAATCTAAAATTACATAAAAATATAAAATAACTTGTTCCTTCGAGAGAAGTGTTTTTAGTTAGAAATACCGTCTGTATTATAATCACTTAGAAATCATGTTTAACCATAAAAAGAGCCAATCCTTAGTGCAAACGTCTGCAGCGATCCAAAAGGGAAGATATTTCCGGTTCTACAGGCACTGGATTTTTAGACAGGATGGAGCTCCGTCAGATATGGCGACCGGAGCCGCGCAGCAGCAGCAGCTCAACCTTCAGCGTCATGGTCTGCTTGTCGGTTCCGTTAGAAACCAGTAGAGTGGACGGTGGGGATCGGGTAGAACTTGGAGATGCGGCTCTGGCTGGACGGGTTAAGGCACTCGGACTCGCCGCTCATCTTGAAGAACACTTCCTGTTCCTGCAGCTTCCTGGCGAACTCGTCTTCCAGCGCCTGAAGCAACAAAGGTTTAGGTTGAACAAACCACAGGTGGGAAAAAGGGCGAATAATTCCAACGTTCCTGAAGCTCCTGAGGTCTGGTACTGGTATCTAGTTACTGAGAGGCTCTATAATCTTTGGGTTCCTAATTGTTTTACATTCCACCTAAAGTTGCATTGACTCACTGTGGTGACCTCAAAACAGAGGACTCACTAATGAGGCATATCCTACACACACCAATGATGACATTAGCAACTTTGTCTCCATCTAGTGGTCAGAGTTATGCTCAATCCTGACTCATTTAGTTACTATTTAGTGCAGTTACAATGCCAAATTCAATATTCTAATAACATTAGACATGAAGGAGTCTTTATGAAAATTTATGACACTTCTAATTAAGTGTGATTTGGTAAATTATTATGTTTTTAAAGCAAAGTCCCATCGTTTAAAGGTTTTTTTAGTGACAATCTGACATTAATACCATAAACCTGAATAGACCTGTCTACTTATAAACCTTTAAAAAGCTCTTTAGATATATGTTTTAACATTATGCCACACTGTGACTTTATGATAACATCTCTGCAAGTTGTTCAGCTTGTTAAACTTTACTTGAGGTAAAACAACTGTTATTAATCTCGCAGTATGAAAATTATGTTTATTTTTAGAACTAAAGCTGCATTTTACTTTTTATAGATAATGAAATGACCTCAATGCAGTTAAAGCTAAGACTAATGCCATATGACAGCATCATGGAATCTACAAAATATATTTATAAAGGTTTATAACTAGAACTTTTACGATGCATTTTTGTTGGTTAGTTAATTCCAAGATTTTTGGTGCATTGACGTCAAGCTGTCATAAAAAACTTTGACTGCCCTACAACTTTGCCTTATAGTCGTAGTGAAGCGGCTGTTCCAGTCGTTGCATTTCTGAATTCTCCCGAGTGGTGCCCGACTTTCCACGAGTGAATAAAGTGAATGTTATTGGTCGATTATCAAGGGGCCGGGATTGTTGTGGCGTAAGGTTCACAAGCAAGTTTGGTTGAGGTCGGTTTGTCGGAAGCATCTTGCTAACCAGTTAGCAACTTAGTGCTAGTAGGATCCCAATGGGAAATTCCATTGGGACCAAGTAGCACTAAATTGGTGACATAGAAACATCACTGTCAAGGAACGCTATGGACAGAGGAAACATGCAAGAGGAGGAGAGTTTAGTGTCAGAGGTCGTGGATGAGTCTCCTCTGTCATACATTTTTTATTTAGAGGAGGAAAGCGGGGAGGAAGATGTTGTGGAAGAGGACGCCAGGGCGCCAGAAGCTTGGTTTGGTGTAGAAGGCTTAAAGCCGTACATGTTTGAGCCCTTGCCTCTCAATGCTGCCAGTTCTGTTAGCTCTACGCCTGCTGAAGACACAGACGTCCGTCCCCGTGAACACTGGGACGGAACTCAATGGGAACGGAAATTATTATTATTTCAACCGTTGTGTATATTAGCTGCAACATATGAATCAAGAAGCTGTGACCGAAAAAATTTGATTGACAGATGACCGTTGATATATAATTGGCCGAATTTAGGTGTTCAGGCTGACGTATAACTAACTGACCTGCATAAAATAACGAGAAAAAAACCCCCACAGATTTTAAGACAGGATTTTTTTTTTTTTTTTTTTACAGAAATTTTCTAAATTTTGGGACAATAAATAGTATATTTATATACTTGTTTAACCATAATGATTTGACATTTAAATATGATTTCCCTAAGACTTTAAAGTAATCTCACAGTATGGAAACTCTTAACGTCATCTTTAGAACTAATGCTGAATTTTACCCTTTATAAATAATGAAATGATCTCAATGCAGTTAAAGCTAAGACTAATCTCATATGAAATAAAATCTGTTAATTATATTTGTACAGGTTTATAACTAGATCTATTATGATGCATTTTTATTGGTTAGTT